TATATATATATATATATATATATATATATATATATATATATATTCTTTAGGATTTTTCAAGTACATGTTCTTTAAATGTTTATTAGAATGTAGAAAAAAGGGTGTGACTTAGGGTTCTAAAGTCTAGGTTAAAATATTATTGAAGCATATTAAAAATAAATATATTTAAAAAATTATTAATACAGCTTCATAAAATTTCCTAAGTTCAGTATTCTCATGGAACCAACACTCAGGTTAAAAAACAACATCAGAGCATTACCAGTGCCCTAGAGGACCCCTTATACCCCTTCCAGTCACCATTCATCTTCCCTCCAAGATAACAGTTATCCTGACTTCTTATAGCATGGGTAACTTTTGCCTGTTTTTGGATTTTATATACATAGAATTGTGTGTCATGTGCCTAATTTATTCACTCAAAATTAGGTTTGTGAGATTTATGTAAGTGCATGTAGTTGTAAATTGTTTATCCTCACTGGTGTATAGAATTCCATTGTGTAAATATTCTACAGTGTTTCTGCAACGCATGATGGGCATTTAGGTAGATTCCAATTTAGAGCAATTGTGATTAAAATGTTAATGAACATTAGAATACATGTCCTTTGGTGAAATTTTGGTGGGAGGGATGGGGTAGCATTTACCTAGGAGTGAATTTGCTTGGTCACATGTTATTCAAATGATCAGCTTTGGTAGATACTGACAGTTTTCCCAAGTGGTTATACCAATTTACATGAGCTTTTAGGGCAGTGTCTCAGAGTTCTGGATATTTTACATCCTTGCCAACAGTTGGTATCTTTGGTCTTTTTCATTTTAGCCATCCTGATATGTAAACAGACTTTTATAAAAATTAAAGACATTTAAACCAAGTAATGTATACACATGGTGTAACCTCCCCCACCCACACACATCTTAAATAGCATATAAGAACTTACTGTAATAATAATAAAAATATCCCTACCTCACCAACAAACACCCCTTTCCTAGTGGCAACACTTTATATTTTTAATGAACAATTTTAAGGGCAGTTTTAGGTTTAGAGACAAATTGCACAGAAAGCATAGAATCCCCCATGACCCCCCAGCCTACAATTATTAATATCTTGCATTAATATGGATACATTTATTATAACTGATAGGTCATATGTTATTCAAATGATCAGCTTTGGTAGATACTGTCAGTTTTCCTCAGTGGTTATACCAATTTACATGAACTTTTAGGGCGGTGTATGAGAGTTCTGGATATTATTGACACATTATTAACTAATATTAGGGTTTGTTCTTTATATTGTACAGTGTCATAAGTTTTGTTTGTGTTTTTTTGTTAATCCTCATTGAGTATATTTTTTCCCATTGATTTTTACAGAAAGTGGAAGGGAAGGAGGGAGGGAGGGAGGGAGAGAGAGAGAGAGAGAGAGAGAGAGAGGTGAGAGAGACACATCTATTTGTTGCCTGCCACACGAGTCCTGACCGGGGCCAAAGGTTGAGCCTGTAACCTAGGTATGTGCCCTTGACCAGGAATCGAACCCATGACCCTTCAGTGCATGGGCAGACACTCTAACTGCTCAGCAACACTGGTCAGTTTCATAGATTTTGACAAATGCATTATGTCAGGTATCCACCATTACAGTACCACACTGAGTAGTTTCACTGCCCTAACAATGCCCTGTGCTCCACTTAGTCATCACTTCCTCTCTTCCTCTGAACCCCCGGCAACCAGTGATCTTTTTACTGACTATAGTTTTGCCTTCTTCAGAATGTCATATCGTTGGAATCATAAAGTATACAGCTTTTTCAGAGTGGCTTCTTCTACTTAGCAATACGTATTTAAGTTTCCTCCATGTATTTTACCTCCCTCCCTCCCTCCCTTCCTTCATTTCTTTCTCTTGTTAATGAAGTTTATTTTTTAAAACAGTTTTAGGTTTACAGAAAAATTGACCAGAAAGTGCAAAGAGTTCTTTATTTATACGCTTCTTGTTTTTCTGGAGTACATCCTCAGATAACTCCCTAATAAAGAGTGAATATAGTCAAATGTTCTGAGGCTTTGCATGTCTCAAAATATTTTTATTCTGTCCCCACATTTAATTGACAGTTTTGATAAGTTCGGAATTCTAGGTTGTGATGACTCATTGCCCCTTCCCTAAGTGGACCCAGACTATACCACTGTTGGAATTATCATGTCTACTTTTTATAGTGTTTCTGACTCATACCGTCATTTTTATCTTATTCTATTCTTTTGAAATGATTCACAAAGTCCAGCCCACACTCAAGGCAAGGGGAATGAGGCTCTACCTTTTGAATGGCCTTAAAAAGAATCTTTGAACATATTTTCAACCACCACTCTGCCCTCTGGGCTTAATTATTTACATTCATCTCACATGCAAAATAACCTTACCCTGTCCTCTCAAAGTCCAGTACCCTAAAGGACTCCTTATACCCCTTCCAGTCACTATCCATCTTCTCTCCAAGATAATAATTATGCTGACTTTTTTTTTTACAGCATAGGTAACTTTTGCCTGCTTTGGATTTTATATACATAGAATTATGTATCGTGTGCCTAACTTATTTCACTCAAATGTTTGTGAGATTCATTCATATAATTGCATATAGTTGTAATACAGGTCCTTAAGTACACTTTCTCTCAATCTGAAGACCTGTGAATTAAAGATATAACTAACAGTCCATGGTGGCACAGGCATAGGATAACCAGAATAGACATTACTGTTCAAAAAGAGGGAAAAAAGGAGATTCACAAAAATCACTGGTCCATAGTAATTCTAAAATTCAGCTGGGCACAGGTGACAATTCCTTTATTAGGACTCAAAGCCTGGGAATAAGTTTCTATGGCTCCAGCTTTACCCTCTGGGTTTCTTATTTCATCCTTTGAGTCATTCCTCCTTTTTCATAAAAGGTAGTCTGTGTTTGCAGCTGCATATTTGTCATAACCTACTTATTGATTCTAGAAGTTTGTGGGTTCAAAGCAGTCTTTCATTGCACTGCCTCCATTCTTTTAAGCAAACCTCAAAAGAACAGAGATAGTTAATAGGCAATTTTTAAGGGCAGTTTTAGGTTTAGAGACAAATTGCTACTTTGGGCTTGTGCTGAGGAACAACATTTTCTTTCAAGATCTAATTGGCAGCATCCCTTCTAGCAGCTTCCAGTTATGGAAACAGCCCAAGTACCCATCAGTAGATGAGTGGATAAAAAAGATGTGGCACATTTACCCAATGGAATAATTTTACACAATGGAAAATTTTTCTGGCATCGTTTCTCAAATATCATCTGTTCAGCTTCATTTTTAAGGTAATAATTTAACCTTTGATAAGGGCTGCATCATTAATGTTATTTGTGTCAATAAAATGTGAAACTATATTTAAATATATGACTAAATGTAAGTAGTATCTATCAGTTAGGAATGCATTCAGCTGCAAGTAACAGAAAACCTGCCACCAGTAGCTTAAACAGAGACTTACAAAACAGGGTTCAAGCTATACTACCTTAAGGCAGTCGTGTCAGCCAAAACACCTACTTCAAAATATTGGAAGACATGTTAGCAATAATTAATACTAATAATGCCAATATTCATTCATTACTTACCACTTGCCCTCTTCAAAGTGCATTACATGTAACAGCATTTCAGGCGCACAACAAACCTGTGAGGTGGAATGGTGATGTCTTTTGAAAGTCGTTCCTTTTCTTCTCCAGGTCCCAGACTAGCTGTAGTATTTCTAGGGCACGTGGCATCATCCAAATGGCTCCAAGGTTTGTTTTGCTAATCAATGCATAAGCAAGCATAAGAGTTCTAGACTCTAATGCTTTTGAGTTACGCAGAAACCAGCCTGACCTTTTCAAGTCACGTTAAAGTTCCATGATGTTTAATAGCCTTTTAGGATGAACCTTTCAGAAGGTGCTCCTGTGGGTGTATTGGCTTTGTGCTTCTGTTTACAAGAACCTTGTCTCCCAGAAGGCACTGCAACTTTTATATCCATTATAAATTATCAATTAAAGTGAAAACAAATACTTTCACTTCGTCTTTTTGCTGACATTTTCTAGCATATGCTAAGTTAACAAGTTTCATTGTATTTAATTCTTGTCATCATATAACCACATTAATATCATCACAGAGCAATGGTGTCCTCAGGTGTAGTATCAGCTCTGGAAACTTCAGATGTGTCAGTGATGGGAGCTAGGGTGGGAATAATGGATGATTCCAGTGAATGAACCCCTGAATGTGTCTGTTATCTTGGTGAATCCTACATCATATCTTTTCAAAAACTAGTTTACTCTTGAGCCATATATTTTAAACAAAGCAAAAACAAAAACAAAACAAAACCAAAAAAACAGAAGGGGTTCATTAAAATTGTATGTCCTAAAGGTGTAACAAATATCCAGTGGCTTTTTGCAGAAGCATTTGGCAAGGGGGCAAAGTTCTTGGGTAAGTCCCCAAACCTGGAACCAATGCAGACTTGGTTGTATGAGTATGGAGCTGAGTATGGAGCTTGATCCTTGAAAGCATGTCCTCCCAGGAGTGGGGAACCGTTTTTCTGCCAAGGGCCATTTGGATATTTATAACATCATTTGTGGGCTATACAAAATTATCCACTTAAAAATTAGCTGCTATGTTTGGTCAAATGTTTAATGAATTCACCCCTTATGCTTTGGCAGGGCCAGACCAAGTGATTTTGCTGGCCTAATATGGCCCACTTGGCCGGAAGGAGGAGGTGCCACGGGTGTACCTGTTGACGTGCAGCAACCACTGCACCTGAAGTGACTTCGTCACTCCTGGACTCTGATGCTTGAGGACTCTTTATGCTGATGAAAATGCAACCATCCTGGACCTTGAAAGGTACGGCGCCACTTCTAGAAACAACCCAGCCCAGTCCCCTCAATTTATTGTTTCAGCCCAGAGAGCCATAGGGCCCTGCCTGGGTTGTCAGCTAGTGAGTGGTAGGGCTGGAATGAGAATCCTTATCATCCAATTCTGTTCAAAGTTTTTTCTGCCCATCCATTTCCCCAGGATGGCTTAGCCCTTCTTGGACTTTTATTGTAGGAATCAAACAAAAGGTAGGTTTCTCAGGTAGCTGAGTTGGGGAAAGGGGCTGTGACAGCAGGATGGGTCAGAGGCAGGGAGACCCGGAAGGAGAGAGGACACTGAAATGCTAGGAGAGGGGGCTTGGGGGACTCTCTGCCTCCTTCCATTTTCAAAAAATATATATTTTTATTGATATCCGAGAGGAGGGAAGAGGGAGAGAGATAGAAACATCAATGATGGGAGAGAATCATTGATTGGCTGCCTCCTGCACGCCCCCCACCAGGGATTGAGCACGCAACCTGGGCATGTCCCCTGACAGAATTGAACCATGACCTCCTGTTCATAGCAGCCGGGTGCCTTCTTACATTTTGATCAGCTCTGGCCTTAATAAAGATGACTGGGCAGTCTAGTTCTGAGCACTGGTGGAGTTTCAAGCATTGACGAGGCCTGGGCTAAGGGGCACATTGGGTAGGTTTTGGGAAGTCTGTGGGAAATAGGTATATGGATAGGTGTGTGTGTGTGTGTGTGTGTGTGTGTGTGTGTGTGTGTGTGTGTATGAGGAGAGAGAGAGAGAGAGAGAGAGAGAGAGAGAGAGAGAGAGAGAATGAGAGTGGAGGAATGTGATATTTATTTTGATTGCCTATTCACATTATTTGCAAATGATTCAAATCATGGGGTATTTTTCTTTAAAAAGCAAGTTCTAAAGAATAATAACAATAATAATAAATAAGGTTATTTCTAGAAATTGATGTGCATTATTAAAAATGTTTTCTCCTGGACCTAGATGGTTTGGCTCAGTGGATAGAGCTTCGGCCTGTGGACCAAAGGGTCCCAGATTCGATTCCAGTCAAGAGCACATGCCCAGGTTGCAGGTTCGATCCCCAGTAGGGGGTGTGTGGGAGGCAACCAATCAATGATTCTCTCTCATCATTGATGTTTCTATCTCTCTCTCTCTCCCTCTCCCTTCTTCTCTGAAATCAATAAAAATATATTTTAAAAAATGTTTTTTCTTGAAATTTTTTTTATTTTAGAAGTTGGCTTTGGTTTCCTCTGAATCCTAAAAGATACAATGGAATATTAAAAATGGTTGGAATAGAACTTTCATTGGAGTGATTTTTAATTCATATCACAGATCAAGCATTCTGGCAGGAGCAACCGAAAATGTACAGAGAAATGAGTTTCCCAGCCAGTGTGGAGCAGAGGGCAAGGTGAAATGGGGTGAGTACAGAGATCACAAGGTTTGGAAGCTGAGCTCACAATCAGCACAGCTACCAACCTGCTGTGAGGATTTGGGCAAATCAGGGTTCTTTCTATTCCAAAGTTTCATGATGCAGATTAAAGTTCTACATGAATTCTGTACAACCAAAATTCATGCCTGCATTAATGATTCAGAAAAGAGGGCATTAGATGGAGATATTTTGACAGACATTGTAAATCTTTCAAGTTAGTGATAGAAAATGATGATCAGAACTCCAGGATCATATGGCTGAGGTTCAGAAATTTTATTCAATCACCAACGAAGACATTTTAAAACTGAATTTAACATTGTCCAGGTTTTGTTCTTCTATTATGGTCACTTTTTAGTTAAAATGTTAGAGCAGCAATATGTTTATCTTAGTTACAACAGAGCTAATGTCTGAATAGGGACATTATTAGAAAATTAACGAATAAGGTGTTTCTGTTTCTATTATAAAAGAAAGTAATTGATTAGCATAAAGTATGTCTCAAATATAGTGACCAGCATATGAAAAACTATTACAGGATTTGTTATGTTGAAAGACTATTATGAAATTTCCAACATACTTACTCATTGACACTGATGCTTAAAAAGAGAGGAATATCAGCCTGGCTAGGTAGCTTAGTTGATTAGAACATCATCCTGATACCGAAAGGTTGTGGGTTTGATCCTGGTCAGGGCCATCCAAAAATCAACCAATGTGATGGAAGGAGACTCAGGCTGAAGTGGTAAACAGACAATACAATATACAGGTGATGTATTATAGAATTGTATACCTGAAACCTATATAATTTTATTAACAAATGTTCAATTCAATTAAATGTCAATAAATTGAATGAATTAAAAAAGAATCAATCAATGAATACATAAATAAGTGGAGCAACAAATCAATTTCTCTCTCCCTTCTCTCTCTAAAATTAATCAATAAAAATATTAGTTGAAATGATTGCTCTTGAAAATAGAAGTATAAATAGAATTCTGATGAATTATTTTCCCAATTCTTCATTATTCAAAATAATGCATTATGAATTGCAAAACTAATCTCTCCTCTTGAGGAAGATACTATTTGAGAAAACCTTGATTATAAAGGGCCCCTGTAAATGTCACAGAAAATCATCTTTCCTGTAAATTTTTTGTTCATTTTCTCTATCCTTTTTATATTCTCACCATTTCGTAGATCCTTTTCTGATGTTGAGTTTGGTGTGCTTGTAAGCTTTTCTTATGTGATTACTTCATGTTATTATATATAAGATTTCTATTATACACCCACTCATATAATGATAGGTATGTAAGCTGTTTCTACCTTTTCTGGAGAGTTGATTTGCAATAAATATCCAGAACCTTGAACTGCTGTTCATAACCTTTGGCTCTGTAATTTCACATCTAGAATTTTATTCTAATGATGATCAAAGATGAAAAACTAAATTGGTAGACAGAGATGTTCATATGTATGTAAGAATATATGTAAAAAATCAGAAATAAACAATGCCCAGTAAGGAACAATAATTATGTGACAATATATTTACACACTGAAATTTTATGTAGTTATTAAAGTATGTTTTTATAGTACATTTAGTGCTCTGAAGAGAAATGAAAAGGAGAAGCAGTATATAATGTAGAAGATATATTTCCAATTAAATTTTTTAAATCAAATAGCTCAAAATATTTTTAGGTATAATTTACATAGAGTAGGATTTTTCCTTTTAATATGTATACTTCAATTAGTTTTTTTAAATGTGTACTGTCATGTGATCACCACCACAGTCAAGGTTTTACCACCCCCAAAAGTTTCCTTTTACCCCTTTGTAGTCAATATTTACCCTCTACTCCATTCCTTGGCAAACTATAGTTTTTCATATTCCAGAATGTCAGGTAAATGGAATCATACAGTATTTCACCTTTTGCATCTGGCTTCTTTCACTTCTGAGATTCATTTTATGTTGCGTGTATCAGCACTTCACTTCTCTTATTGCCAAGCACCATTACTCTGTATGAACATATCATACTTCATTCACCAGTCCATAGACATTTTGGGTTGTTTTCAGTTTCTGCTAATTATGAACCGTTTGTATATAGGACATAATGTTTTTATTTATCTTGGTAAACACCGTAGAAGAAGGATTACTGGGCCATATGGTAAGTGTATGTTCAAGAAATTGCCAAGCTCTTTTTTGAAGCATCCCTACCAACAATGTCATTTTGCATCCCTTCCAACAATGAGAGTTCTAATTACTTTGCACCCTCCAAGCTCATGGCATGGTCTATTAAAACATTTCAGCCATTCTAATAGGAGTGTAGTTATAGCTCGTTTTCCTAGTGACTAATGTCAAGCATCTTTTCATGTGCTTATAAGCCATCCAGATATCTTCTCTAGTAAAATGTCTACATCTTTTTAAATTGGAGTTGTTTTCTTATTATTAAGTTTTGAGAATTCTTTACATATGCTGTATATAATTCCTTTGTCAGATATATGATTTGCAAATATTTTTCCCAGTTTATGCCTTGTCTTTGCATTTTCATAATAATGTCTTTTAAAGGGAAAAAGTTTTAGTTTTATCAACTTAACCATGTTTAATTTTATTATTCATGCTTTTTTTATAATAAAGTGTTTAGTTTAGAATAATTTTAGATATATAAAATATTGCAAAAACAGCACAGAGAATTCCCATACCCCCACATTCAACTCTTTCTCTCATGAATGTTAGTTGGTTCATTTGTCACAACCATTGAATATGGTTTGTTTTTTGTACCCTAAGAAACATTTGCCTGCCCCAAAGTCACAATGATTTTTCTGTGTGTTTTTTTGTTTGTTTTTTAAGAAATTTTGTATTTTTAGCTTTATTAGGTGTATGATACATTTTTAGTTAATTTATGTGTATAACCTGAGGTAATGTGAAGGTTTTTTTTTCCTTTATGGGCATTCAGTTGTTCCAGCGCTATTTACTGAATAGATATTTTAATTTATATATAATTATTATATTTATATATAATATATAATAATTATGTCTCTACAGTTAGCACAAGTAAGCAAAAATTTTGAGTGAGCAGACACAATATAGTGAATATATATATTTTAATAGCGAAGGAGGGATGAGCAGATTATGTCACTGAGGGTGATGGATACCTTAGTCACCCATGTGCCAATTTCTGACCTACATTGCAGAGCCTGGGAGGCCTGGCTCTGTGGTGGGTTCTCTTTTTCTATATGGTCTTATCCAGCAGTTAAGAATCCTTTAATTTTTACTTCCACATCGACCTTTACAATAAGCCCCCGTTATTTAAGTTGAGTGGCTGATTCTTGCCACTCCAGCAACACCAGCAAAAACTACATGTGCACAAAGCACACACCTCTTTATGGGTGAGGATGAATGACTAAAGAAAAACACCTGCTGGTCCCAATACCTCTCCAGAGTTTGTCCTTCATGTGCAAAATTAGAGCTACACATTTTATTATGAAATTATGTTTCTGATAGCTATAAGTATATTGCTAAGATCAAGGGGTAATATATTTACCATTTACTTATTTTTAAATTTATTTTTCATATTATTCCAGCTCAGAGACCAAAGTTCTGAAATCAAGTAAATTCTGATTTAGGGTGGAGAGAGAATGTTAAAAGTAGAAAATTTCTACTTGGACATAATCCAAGACTTGTGCTGATGACATTGGTATCAAAGATGGCAAAAGTGTCACGAAGCTCGATTTTGCATACTTGAGACATAGTTAAGATCCTGGGCTGGGTTTACAGGCCATTTCCATGACTTTCTTAGCTGCGTGACCTTGAGCAGATTACAAAGTCTCCTCAAGCCTCAGTTCCTTCTTCTGCAAACAGGGGTGATTGGGAGGCTTCGATGAAGTCATGTGACTGGCACCAAGGAAGTGCTCACTGTCAGCTCTTCACACTGCTCCCTAATATTCCCCCAGCACTCACGCCAGGGGGTCTGGAGTCCTTGTGTGCATGCCTGAATTTTCAGTCTAATTGTTCACTTTGAGATGAAGGCCTCCCGTAGCACTGAGCCCTTGATCCACCCCATCTGTTCAGCTGTCTCTGTCTCCCTATGTGGGTTCCCTCCTCATTTTTAAGACTCTTAATTAGTTTGGGGTAATAACATGATCAGCACCACCTGAGCATCAGTTATTAGCAATAAATGTGGCTCCTCTGAGCAGCTATGGCATACTAATTATTTCCACATAAATGTAGCTTTTTGTAGCTCTGATTACCTGCTAAGTGATACCAGTGCATATTTTACACAATTTTTACTGTTGATTTTGGAATCACTTGCCTCAGGTTCATCTCGTCAATCCAGAAACATCTGCAATAACATTGGGATAAAATTCGTTTTATTTTTTTCAATTTTTAACTCCAGGGCAATTTTTTTTTTTTTTTAGCATCCCAGTGGGAAGTTCTCTTTCTTTTATTTTCTGCCTCATGTTTCCTAAATAGCCAATTAATTGTTTAATAGATGCTATCTCTGGGAGGGTGTTGCTCTTTGCCAGGCATTAATACTAGTATTGTCATGCCAGTCCTAGCATGTTAATTCTCTCACTGATTTTCAGGTCCGCATGATAAAGGCAACAGGCCAAAGAAGCTACTGAATTGAAACAGCTAGAAATTCATTTCAACTAGGATCAGGTTAGCACCTGCTAGCAGCAGTGGGCATGGTGGTTAGGGCAGGAGATATGGAAATAAACCACAAATGAGCAGAATGGGCTGGGTATAAGAAAAAAGTTTTTCCAACACTGTAATCAAACTTTATTTTTGTTAAACTATGGTGTACGTGTGTAAAATAATACAAACACATATTCTTTTAAATGCTTATTTTAATGTTCACACTGGTCTTTCTTGCCTTTTTTCTTTTCTCAATCCCTTTACCCTTCTCATGCAGTCACCAGTATGGTGACTGCCAAAGGAAAGGGGGTGGTGAAGGGGTAGTAGCAGATATAGGAGGGATAAATGGTGATGGAAGGAGATTTGACATGGGATGATAAATACACAATACTATATACTACAGGTGACGTATTGTAGAATTGTATACCTTAAACCTGTGTAATTTTATTAACCAATGTCACCCCAACACATTCAATTT